CAAGTACACGAAGTGCATGACCATAACCACAAATAAGCGAATAACACTGCCCGGAAAGACCATAACCGAGGTGCAATCAACCATTCAACACCCCTAGAGCCATCTTGCTTGAATTCCGCTACAAGGTCCAAACAGAATGCATCAAGTGTACAATTAACCAACAGAACAATCCATTGTAGCATAGAAGAGTAACACCTAGATCATATCAGAACATGAACCAGCTTAACTCTAACCGAAAGACACACCCCTCAACTATAATAGTGTTGAGCCAACAAATTTGACCCAGTGTAGAATACACCTCCTCATTGGGCCTACCTATTACATCTCACATTTTCGTACGTTAAAAGTTTCTTCTTCAGTTAATTAACATAGACTCGGGAATGAAATTATCTTGAAATTAACGTATTTATTCTATTTATAATAACCGATAAGTAAGTATCATGAAGGGTACACAAATTAAAGAAAACGAGTTTCGTTGAAGGTTGCTGATTTGGGATAAAATACGGGTCGAGCGATAATACCCGATATTTACGGACTAGTACTATACAAGGTATCATATGACCATGATAGAATGATGTATAAGATGTAATAAAAATAAGTAGAATTTTAAGTAAATTGAGACAATTCTTAATTATGCGGGTAATTGGTTAGTTATTGGGTAACATGACATTACATAATTAAGTAACAACTTATCAGATAAGACCAAATATCCCCCCTCTAAAAAACGTGGTAGTAACCCGCTATTGCTACATATGAATAAGTAGTCATATAATATTAGGTGGTAACTAATGTGTTAGATATACACTACTTCATTTTTAACAAATTCAATATTTTAATCAAATGGATCACTACTTCATTTTTCTAACGTTTTCAAGACTACAATTGGATAGGAGGTTTGGTACCATAACATTGAATTTTCCTACAAAGTTCCTACAACCATAGACATTAGCATTTTTGCAATCCAAAACGTTAGCCATTAAGTAAGCACTACAACCAGACGTGAAGAAGGATTTCTTCAGTTCTAACGCTACAAGTGATTTCTTCAACCAACAAGATTTCCTGGCACAGTAGCAAACATCTTATGGGGATCGCCTGAAGCAGCTTGAGGTGCGGATTGAAAAGATGGAGCGGTGTGAGGTTGGAGACTTGCCAAAGCTTCGTGATGAGGAGGCTTTTTCTTTCTAAGGAACGGTTTTAGATGTTTTAGCCATTATTATTGTTGAGAAATTCGAAAGAAGAGAAGGAGATGATGCTGTAGCAAAGATTATAAATGTTGTGAAGGGGACCTATTTATAGCGGTAATCTTAACAGTTTGGGGAAGCTAATGGCCGACCATCAGTCATCTTCAATAAATGGCCTTGGGAACTATACAGAAGCGACCTTTCAATCACTTCAGTCACTGACGTCACAGGATTAACATCATGATCGGGTATCAGAGCATCGAGGATCAAATCGTTTCTTATCATTTTACTCTAAGAAACGCGTGGACTATCTGTATACGGTCAAAATCAGGTATGCTCGATTTTATGGGCTCGAAGGGTCGCTTCAAGCCCGAGTTCAGGATGGGTCGAGTTCGAGCCTGATGGACCAAGTTCGAGCCCGATGACAAATGCAAAGCTCGAGCATCGAAGTATGCGATGGGCATCGAAGCCGAGTATGACCAATCCCGAAATGATACCGTTATGGGTTTGTAACAGAATGAACAAGATTCCTGCCACGTTCCCAAGATCATGGCGTAAATTCCAGAATGGATTTGTACGAGTTAGTACTATTCCGTACTAGGCGGTTAGACAGCTGTCCCAATAAGATTCCTTACTGTAAATAAAAATGTACCTTATTTAGGGTTCCCCTATTATATAAAGGGGACCCCAATCATGTGTAACCATCATCAATCATTGGCAAAAGAATACACTCTCTTACTTTCTTGCTCATTGCTCACCAGAATAGTCCTTTAACTTTATTGTTCTTACTTTATTGTTCTTGACCTACCTCGAGACCACCTTAGCTCGAGACTGGCTTGCACACTGGTTTGATTTTACTTATTTCTTTCTTTTATACGTTAGATTTTTTGATTATTAATTAGTATTGAACTAACTCACATATCTTTAAAACTATAAATCAAGTTTAATTGTTACTCGTATTTTCGAGGTAAACAACATGTTAATTAGGATCGACGTTCACACGAATATGTATTGTTTCTTTCTTTAAGATGCAAAAGTTGCACATGAAAGATAAGGAGAAGTGGAGCAATATGTTAATGAAAGGAACAAGGCGAAATTTAGGGAATGAGAAAATCATAGAAAATCACAGACATGTACACTACCTATTAACCATGGAACCAGGTACACATCTTTTCCCTTATTAGTTGGTAACTATAGAAATTCATAATGACAAATAAAGTTCTCCATGAATAGCCTGCAACCCTTATTTGAGTAAATATCTTGAATTAGTTTGAATAAAAGAAACACTTTGGAACAGAGCTTCATAATATCCAACTGCAATGAATTCTTCCCCAAAAAAGTAGCCTAAACATTCAGAAGAACAAACACAAAATTGAATAATAATCCTACCTTAGTCAAATACATTAACAAAATATTTGCAAGAAAGCCAGACAAACTAAAATTAAATGAGGAGTCCAGGCTTTTTCGATTCAAAAAAGAGTCCAAGTTTTTCCTTTATTAAGCAAAATTCCTTAAAATAATGCATGTTCATTTAACTAATAAAGAAAAGAGAGCAAACACAGTGATATTACATAGACAAGGAAACACCCAAAAAAGTTACGAATATAAATTAATGCAATAATTAAACAGAAGTTTCACGTTAAGCGCCAGCTAACATACCAATCTAAACTACTAAGTCACAGAAGAGCTAAGCAACTATTGTGAGGAAACATTTTCCGGCAATGCTAGCATTCAAGGTTTATTTGGGGCGTACAATATTCAACAACAATTCAATTATAATATGAGCAAAAATGGTGAAACACTCACGTGCGGTAACTTTGAATAGCCATTTCATAGCCCTGACTCCTGAGTGTCCTGACATATATAGAGTTCAAGAAATATCAACCGGTAAGAAGTACAAAATTTTATGCAAATAATCGATTCAATCTTTGTCAAATCACTAAGAAAAACACATTTAAACTAAATTATCAACACTAAAAGAAAGAGGACTCTCTGTACCATTACTCGTTACAACCATCTCGATAGAGAAACCCATCAAATTTCGGGGAAAAAGGGACTGATAAGAAAAAGAAAAAAGAAAAAACCTAAAATAAAAGAAAGCCCATTGAGAAACATCAAAGCGGTAAGGCTTTATTTCAGTTTATTTACAAGTTTTGAAAAGAATTCTTTGGTTATTCTTTTGTTTCAATCTGTTGCATGATTTTATTGATTGACTTGATTTGTTTCTCCCTCTTTTTTCTTAGTTAGCATCTATAGTTTAAACATGAGAGATTTTATGTAACTCAATTAACACAAGATTATACATAAACCAACTTTGAAATCAAGTATTTCCGTTGTGTCAAATTCATGAATTATGAAAGTGAGATATCATGAAATACCCAACTCGGGGTAATTAGGTTGGAAAACAACCATCAAGATTTGATTACACAGTGAAGGATCTTTCATTTGACATTTGAAAAATAAATTCTTATTTTCCCTTAGCACGTGCTATTCTGTTGCTTCTACTCGTTCAACTCTACAACAAAGTATAAATGGTGGGGTCTTTCATTAAATATGTTGGTGTTAGTGATGTTAACACCGTAAATAAAGATGTAGTAGCAATTTGAATCTTTGTTTGCTTATTGAGTTCATTACCTTCAAAGAAGTCAAAACTGTAGGTTAGTTGCAAACTTGAAATCCAACTGTCTTGTTTCTTTTTTCTGCTATTCACTTTTGTGGTCATAATGAGAGTGAAGATTCCAAATATAAAGGTCTTTTCTTTAACTTTTGGAATTTTATGGGGATAAGCATTCGGACGTGGGAAAGGTAATATTACATAAAGCTCCACAAAAATGATATGATGATTTGTCCAGTAATTCAAAAGGATAATGTGGATGCTTATGCTAAAGAAACAATTAAAGCTATCCTCAAAGAGTTAGATGATGATTTCTTTGAGATATTAGTTGATGAAATGACTTCTCACATAAAGAGAAAATGGCACTAGTTATACGATATATTAACAAAAGTGGGGAGGTGATAGAGCGCTTTATGGCTGTTGTCCATATGAATGATACATCTGCACTATCATTATAGAAAATAATTAATTATTTGCTTTTGGTTCACTCGTTAAGTTTATCCAAGTTACGTGGACAAGGTTATAGCGGAGCTAGTAATATGCAAGGAAGAATAAATGGCCTGAAGTCTTGTTTAGTCCATCAGTTCATCCAAATTACGCGTTCATTGTTTTGCCCATCAGTTGCAATTGAGACTTGTAGCTCTTTCTAAAAAGTATCTGGATATGAATAATTTTTTGATGTTGTCACGAATGCATTGAATCATATCGGAGTATATTTTAATCATAAGAAATTACTTCGACAACACCAAGTAAAAAATCTAGAAGAATTACTTAAATCTGGAAAAATAATTACTGGGCAAGGATTGAATCAAGAATGTGGACTCCAACAACCAGGTGATACTCTATAGGGATCCCATTTTAAGACCTTGAAAATTTTTATGATTATATTTTCTTCAATTATTAATGTGTTTAAAGATATGCAACAAAATAGTTCTCATTCTCTTGAGAGATTTGCAGCAAAAAATCTTTTGGGCAATATTCATGAATTTGAATTTGTATTTTTGTTGCACTTGATGGTCAAGATGTTTCTTCTTACAAATGAATTGAACAAAGCTTTATAAAAGAGAGACCAATACAACATCAATGCTATGAGCTTGCTTGACCTTATAAAGACAAGATTGCAAACGATGAGAGAAAGTGAATTGAAGTCTTTGATGAATGAGGTTTACTCATTTTGTGGTAAACATGATATTATGATTCTCAAAATGGATGAAGACTATCCAAGGTCGAAGCGCAAGAAGTCTGAAGTTTCTTATGCACATCACTTTCGTGTGGAAGTATTTTATGCAGTTATTGATTTGCTACTTCATGAGCTAAATAGACGTTTTGATGTAGTGACTAGTGACTTACTTCTTGGTATGACTTGCTTGAATATGGTTGATTCATTTGCTAATTTTGACAAAGACAGAATAATGATGTTGACCGAGTATTATCCTAGTGAGTTTGATGACAACAAGCTTCGAGATCTTAGTTTTCAGCTTTATAGTTTCATTGTCTATGCTCGAACGTGTGATAGAAAGTTTGTCAACTTGAAGGGTATTAAGGATCTTGCTATAGTGATGGCAAAGACAAAATTGGATCAAACTTGGTGTCATATTTATTTACTTGTGAAGCTTACTTTGATTCTACCTGTTGCTACTGCAAGCGTGGAAAGAACATTCTCCTCAATGAAGCTCATAAAAAATAATCTATGTAATAGCATTAGTGAAGAATTTTTGAATGGTTGTTTAGTTTTTAATATGAGCGTAAGGTATTTGCAATTGTAAGCAATGATGCTATTATAGATAATTTTTAAAGTATGAAAACTCATCGAGTACAATTGTAAATTGTGATAATGAAACTAATTATTTTTATCTCCCTAAGTTATTTTACTGTAAGTATTTATGTCATCAAACTTAATATTTATCTTAAAAGCAATGGTACACCCATCTTTTTGGAATCCTAGATCTGGCTCTCTCGAGGTCAGATTGTTATTCGGGAAATTAGAATAGGTCTATTTCGTCATTTAGAACTTGTGTGCAAAGTTCAGGTTCATTCTGGATTGATTAGGCTTGAATCAGATGCTTGGTTTGAAGTTGAAAGTATATGAACTTAAAGATTCTGGGATTTGGTGTTGATTACAGTGTTTAGAGCCATTGATAGGTTTGGGAGATGTATTAGGACTTGTTGGTCTTATTGGATGGGGTCCCTTGGGGTTTAGGTAAGTTTTGGACCATTTTGGTTGAGTTTGGCATAGATGATCTTTTGGTTCTCTAGTGTTCTTCACGTTTGCGATCATTATGGCGCATCTACATATAAGGTTTTGGATGACCGGTGATTTGTTCATCTCATTCATTTTGAAGTTGTCACGTTCACAAAGCTTTGTTGTCACGGGGTTTTTGGCCATCGCGTTTGCGTAGGTGTGGACCTTGGCGCTCGCATAGGAGGATTCACATTCGCGAAGCATAGCTGGAGCTGGAGCTGGAGGCAGTTTGACCTTCGCGATCGTGAGGGTACTACCGTGATTGCGTAAGGTACTGTTGGGCAATGCATTTAAGTTGCCATTTTCGGAATTTTACCCATTATTTCATATTTTGAGCCCTAGATTTCGAGAAGATGAGACTTTGAAGAGTAATTTTACTACTACATTGGAGGTAAGTAATTTTCACTTGGATTTGATTTTATATAGTGATTACCCATGGATATCTACACTAAAGCTTGGAATTTTGAAAGAAAATTTAGGGGTTGTCTACATTTTAAGGAAGTGTATTTTGGGGATTTGAGCATCAATTTGGATTCATTTTTGGAAACTAATTATATATTTGGACTAGGTGGGTTATGGATTATTAAATTTTGGTACTGTCTTGAATTTTGGGCACGTGAGCCCGAGTTGACTTTTATTGACTTTTGGAGATTTCTTCAAAGATCGAAGATTATGGATTGGAATAACTTTCTATGGTATTTTTGACTTTCTTGAATGATATTTAGCTTGGATTTGTGCGATTGGAGGGCTAGATCGAGGTTTTGACGGGATTCGAGGTTGAATACTAGCCTGGATGAGGTTAATATCTTGCCTAAGTTTGGTTTGAGGTTAGTTTTCCTATTAGCTGTGATATTTGTTATATGTTAGGGGTGGTGTATATGCAATGTGATGAGTGTATATGCGTCAACCCTGGTTATTCATGATCTGAGTAGATCTTAGGCTATTATATGCCTTGTTTTGTTATCATGCTTCTTTTTAATATCATGTTTTCTCCATTTGTCTGACTACGTGAGTTATTATTCATGATAGGAATTATGTCTAGGCTATTTGCTAATTTGTTTGAGACATGATAGGGCTATTGTTTTTTCTATGTTGAGCTATTTTCCTTTGCTGTAGTTATATTGTTCAGTCGTGATATTATATTCGCGTATACTATCGCTATCTTTGTGCACTTTAATAGCCTAAGACCAACCGTGCAATTTCTAGATGGCAGAAGTAAAAAAAGAATTATTTATCCAAAGACTCACACACATGGCACACAAACTGTTTGACTTAACATAGTTTTAGCCCTCGAATCAACACTTGGCAACTCGAAGCTTTCATCATATTTACATGTATAACTCTAGGTAAACATAGAGTCAAAGAGCGAGACTCAAGTTCACATAGTTGATTTCCCTTTTTTTGTATTAATGGAAGGGTATATGCTATTTACAAGCACACATGCTTGTAACTAGACAATTACACCAAACCGGTCAAAATATTTCATTCTATTGCCCTGGTTCTAGTATTACACCCTTGGAAAACAACCCGGTGAAGAAAAATCAAGGGGGATTCATTACTAATTACTAAAGATGTATATACAACTATCTACTTATTTTTGATTTTTTATATACAAAGATAACCTATGTACAAAAACCACGCAACACAAGTATATACAGAAGTTTGCTTATATAACACAAAAACATGTACAACAGTTCAATTCACAAAAGAGTTTGTACAAGGCTATCCCACCCCTAACTGAAAAGCATGCATTGTCCCCAATGCATAAGAATGTAAAACAGAGTTTAGGGGCTCCCTAAGGCGCACTAGGCGCTATGGGAGTCGGAAGCTGACTGAATGATGGTGGGGTCACCCTCTGATGCTGAAGCTAGGACCGATGAGATCTCGGCTTGAGGAGTGACTTCCACTGATGGAGGAGGGATCTCCAACTGGCCCGAAACTGGAGCTGGGGCCTGTGAGCTGCTAGCCTCGCCTGCTGATAGCTGAGTGGCCGATGGATTTTCTTCGGTAACCATATCTGCTAGCAAATATTCTATTGCCTTCTGAACTGCTGCTTGTTCTTCCTCTACAACTGTAGGGACATCAACCTGATTACCTTTCTCCTGAGGGCCCTTATCCTCCTCAGACCATGACTCCTCATCAGTCTCTCCCTTGTCTGCCTCCCCACCTTCGGACTCTGCAGAGTGTCCGGAATCTTCCTCAGAAGGGATGTCAATATGTGCAGGGGAAGCTGGAGGCTGGGAAGCCCTGACAATCTGAGGTGCAGGAGTTGTCATCAAGGTGGAGAAATCAAAATCTAATCCAGCCACGGATGTGCCCGCCCCATGCTCTCCTTCTTTGGGCATGAAGGAGGATAGATCGAACTCTAGAGTTTGCATTTTGTGGAGCCCAGTCTTCAGTGTGGCAATCTCATCACAGAGCTTTGGCAAGTCTCCAACCTCACTTCGCTCCATCTTTTCAATCCGCACCTTAAGCTGCTTTAGGCGATCCCCATAAGATGTTTGCTACTGTTGGAGGGCCATCACTGAGGACTGGATAGGGGTCAATGCTTGTTTGATGAGTGCGGGGAGGTTCTTCAGAAGGTGGTCTACCTTAGCATTTGCATGTTGAGCTAAGAGACCGAGCCTCGAAATGGCTGGCAGTGGGGCAGAAGGCTGTGCAATAGTGGCCTGGAAGGTGGGTTGTGGTGTGGAAGTGGAGGCCATTGTGGCTTGAGGAGAAGCAGGAGTCTAAGAGTCTGAGATCTCTGTATCAACAGGAATCGAGGTCTGAACCTCTAGGGGAGCAACAACTACCGCGTCATTAATGCACGTGATATCAATATCCTTCAACGCTTTCCCCGTCTTGTCAGTGTGTGGCATTGAAGGGACTTCCACAGCCTTACAGAGGGCTGTGATCAAGCTTGGGAATGGAAGTGACGTGGTTGTCTGGTTGGCCCAGATCCCTAACTCTCGGAAGATAAAGTCACCCACATCAATTTTTATCCCAGTCATAATGCATGCAATGAGAAGAGCTTTCTCAATGCTTATATCAGTCTCATTTCGGGATGATATCAATCTAGATGTGACAAAGCTGAGGCAGAATCTACCCTCTTGTGTGAGATCTTCCTTGAATATTTTATGCAGAGGGTCAATCCAAGCAGGGGTCCCCTTGGCTATCACTGAGGCTATCTAACCATGCTCAATATCTATGTTGGCCCATTTGTTGTTATACACTGTTGTGCCCGATCTCCAGTTTGGAAAATAGAACTCATTTATGGTGTCACTACTACAAAACAGCTGCTTCCCCCGACCAAGACAGTATCATAGAAAACTTTGTTGCGCTTGTGGTGAGGTGTACTGGAGGCTCCATAAGATGCATAAAATTCATGCACCACTGGTTCATTGTAATCATCAGGCAGCTCAATGAAATACTCCCAGTTTCTAGCCTTGATGTTCTCCAGTATATGAGTGTACTGCTCCTGTAGCCCGTTCAGACTCAGTTGTTTCTCGACAAGGATTTTCCGTTTTGTGAGCCCTTCTCTATACACCTCTAGAGCCTTCGACCCCAAACCTGAGTTGGAAATCATCTCCTCTTTTTCTTCTTGCCTCAGCTTGTAGGTCAACTGATGGCAAGGTCTCCTCCTCACCAGACTAGGAGGGATGTGCAGTAGTAGGGTCCGGTCGTGAACGTTTGGCTTGCTGTGCTTGACGACTGGTGGAGGCCCTTTCTTGGAAGAAGATATATGTTTCTTGGGAGCCATATCTACAATGAAATTAAGTGTGAGAAACATAGCAGACATTAGAAGAAAAATCACAAAGAAAGTCAAGTATGCGACAGGGTATGCGATTGCATAACCACTATGCGGACCGCAAACCTATCGCAAAACTTTTGTCTACTGAAGGGATATAATTATGCGATGGGATTTGCGATCGCATATCCATTATGCGGTTCACATGCCCATTACAAAACTATTTTCTTGGAAAGGTCATCACACTATACGATCTTAAAATTCACCGCAAAGATGAATTTGCGATCGCAAATTAGCCGCAAACCATATGTTAAAAAAGGCCAGATACTGTTTAGGTATGCGATGGTTTGCGGTCCGCATATCACTTATGCGATCACAAAGCCTCCGCAAATTGTCATCTTACTCAGGCCACCTAGGGTTTGTTATGCGGCAACAATGCGGACCGCAAATCGACTATGCGGTCTGCAAAAATCATCGTCCTCAACGTTTTGACTTTATCCTATACAATGGTGACCCTAATTTCACTACCTAGCACCCTGAGCCTAACTAATTATCTAAGAACCCCCCCTATTACGAGCAGATACCCAAACAACAAAGAGGAATAAAAAAACAAAAACCAAAGGAAACAAAAAATGGGAAAACACACAACAAAATTTAAACTAAAATTTACAGGGATGAAATTGGGAAAGGAGAACATACCAGGAATGGAGAATTTAGAACACTTGGAAGATTAATGCACAAAGTGGGATCGTTGTTTACTCTGTTCACTAGCCGTTTTTTCTTTCTCCTTTTTCTTTTTGTGTTTCGTTTTCTTTTTGTTCTTTTTTTGTTTAAGAGGGAAATCTTAGTGCTGGTGTGTGTTTATGTGCAAAGGTAGGGGGTACTTACCTATGAAGTTTATGGTTTGTAAGTCATTGCATAACACCTTATGCGACTGCATAAGTGTTATGCAGTGGTTTCAACTGAAGTTACTCATGGACACAATGCGGTGCACTTATGCAATCACATAAATGAAATGTGGTCCGCAAAGTACACGTCCTCACCGCATTTCTACCCCCAATATTTTCCAAACAAACTGTCCAGGTATGCGATCACTATACGGTCTGTATAGTTAAAATGCGACCACATATGTATAGCAGACTTCCCATTGTGACTTTTCTTCCCTTTCACACGCAATTTTACCCTGTGTAACGATATTTTGAATCACCTGCACTCTAACACACACTTTAAATTGCTCAATTAAATCTATCTAACAAAATTTAAAATTTAAAGGACAAAAAGGGTGTTACCACACATGGGTTGCCTCCCATGAAGAGCTTGATTTAACGTCGCGACACGACAAAGTTGGCCTTTCTTTGGTTTCACTCATTGGTCGGGCATGGACCATCTTTGAGAGCCAACTGTTCCACCAAGTGTTTTTCTCCATCTGTGCCCAAGTAGTGCTTGACTCGCTGGACATTTACTTTGAAGGTTCGGAGCCCATCCTCCGATTCTAATTCCACAGCTCCAAAAGGGGATACATCTACCACCTTGAACGGACTGGACCATTTCGATTTGAGCTTGCCTGAAAACAATTTGAGCCTTGAGTTAAAGAGCAAAACCAAGTCACTCGACTTGAACTCACTTTTCAAGATCTTTATGTCGTGGACGAACTTCATCCTTTCTTTGTACACAACTGCACTTTCATATGCATGGAAACGGAATTCCTCAATTTCATTGAGTTGTGTTAACCTCAAATTTGCAGCTTCAGCCCAGTCCAAGTTCAACCTTTTTAAAGCTCACATGGCTTTGTGCTCCAGTTCTACGAGTAGATGACAAGCCTTGCCGAAGACTAACCAATAAGGAGAAGTGCTAATAGGGGTTTTGTACGCCGTGCGGTATGCCCACAATGCGTCATCTAGCTTCTTTGACCAGTCGGTCCTGTTTGCATTAACAGTCTTTGCTAGAATATTCTTTATCTCCCGGTTGAAAACATCAACTTGGACACTTGATTGGGGATGATAAGGTGTGGCCACCTTATGTTTGACGCCATATTTCTCTAGTATCCCCATGAAAGCCTTGTTACATAAGTGAGACCCACCATCACTAAGAATGGCTCTAGGAGTGCCACACCGCGTGAATATGTTTTTCTTTAAGAATGTGGTCACACTCCTTGCCTCATTGTTTGGTAAGGCAATTGCTTCAACACATTTGGACACATAGTCCACAGCCACCAAGATATATTTCATACCACAAGAGCTTACAAAGGGGCCCATAAAATCAATTCCCCATACATCAAAGATTTCTATCTCCATCACAAAGTCCATTGGCATTTCATGCCTCTTGGAGATTGATCCTTGCCTTTGGCATTGGTAGCAAGCCTTGATCATTTGATTGGCATCATGATAAATTGACGGCCAATAATAACCACATTCAAGCACCTTTGCCGCTGTTCAATTGCCCCCATGGTGACCCCCGATCGGTGAGTCATGGCATGCCTTTAGAATTGACATAATCTCCTCTTATAGAACATATCTTCTGATGATGTTATCAGCACAAACACGGGACAAGAATGGTTTTTCCCAATATTATTACCGACAATTTCACAAAAACTTCTTCTTCTGATAAGCTTCCAATCCATCCGGGATAAGGTCGCTAACCAAGTAGTTAGCAATATCGGCATACCAAGGAGAAAAAGTGTTAGATAATGCCAATATGTGTTCATCCGGGAAAGCATCGTTGATTTCAAGATCTCCCTTTGGTCTCCCTGCCTCTTCAAGCCTTGATAGATGATCTGCCACTTGATTTTCCGTCCCTTTTCGATCTTTGACTTCAAAGTCAAATTCTTGCAACAACAGGACCCACCAAATCAACCTAGGCTTTGCATCCTTCTTTGCCATAAGATAGCGAAGAGCAGCATGGTCTGTGTACACTATTACCTTGGATCCCAACAAATAAGCCCGAAATTTCTCAAAGGCATAGACAATGGAAAGAAGTTCTTGCTCAATCACCGTATAGTTCATTTGCGCCCCATTGAGTGTCTTGCTTGCATAATAGACCGGGTGGAGAACCTTGTTGTGACGTTGGCCAAGCACTGCCCCAATAGCTACACCACTGGCGTCACATATGAGTTCTAATGGAAGAAACCAATCGTGTGTGACAATAATAGGTGTCGTGGTGAGCTTTTGTTTCAATTCCTCAAAGGCTTTGAGGCACTTCTCGTGAAACACAAATTTTGCATCTTTCTCAAGGAGTTTGCACATGGGATTTGAAATTTTGGAAAAATCCTTGATGAAACGCCTATAGAATCCAGCATGCCCCAAGAAACTTCGGACACCTTTAACTGAAGTAGTGGAGGAAGCTTGGAAATGATATCGATCTTTTCCCGGTCAAACTCTATGCCATGTTTTGAAATTTTATGCCCCTAGACAATGCCTTCATCCACCATGAAGTGGCATTTCTCCCAGTTAAGTACAAGGTTAGTCTCCTCACATCTCTTGACCACTTGTCTAAGATTGTTAAGACAATGCTCAAAAGAGTCACCTACCACCGAAAAGTCATCCATGAAAACCTCTAGAAAATCCTCCACAATATCTGAAAAGATGGACATCATGCATCTTTGAATAGTAGCCGGAGTGTTGCACAAACCAAACGGCATCCGACTAAAGGGCAAATGAATGTTGTCTTCTCTTGGTCCTCCAATGCTATGTTGATTTGGTTGTAACCAGAATATCCATCAGGAAAGCAATAGAATGACCTCCCCCCTAGCCGATCAAGCATTTGATCAATAAAAGACATAGGGAAATGGTCTTTGCACGTGGCACTATTGAGCTTCCGATAGTCCATACACACCATCCGGTAACCATTCTTGTTGGGATGATCTCATTTTTATTATTTTCAATCACGGTTATGCCTCCCTTTTTTGGCACACATTGCATCGGGCTCACCCAAGAACTATTGGCAATGGGGTAGACTACCCCGACATCCAACCACTTGATGATTTCTTTCTTTACCACCTCCTGCATGGACGGGTTCAACCGTCGTTGATGCTCCAAACTTGGTTTAGTCTCATTCTCCAATTGGATCTTGTGTTCGCAAATTTCGGCGGGAATCCCTCGGATGTCCGCAATTGTCCACCCAATAGCTTGACTATGCTCCTTCAAGACATCCAACAATTGTTATACCTGCACATCATTCAACAAAGAAGAAACGATTACCGGTAAAGTATCATTTGAGTCAAGAAATTTATACCTCAAGTGTGGTGGAAGTGGTTTGAGCTCTAGTTGTGGTGGCTCTATAATAGAAAGCTTTGCGGTAGGAGTGGCTCTATTCTCCAAGTCGAGAGAGAGCTTCTTCGAAGCATAAGTGTAGGAACCAAGCCCTTCCAATGCATTGACTGATTCCATATACCCCTCCATGTCTTTACCATTGAAGTTTACCAAAATAGCCACCAATGCCTCACCGAGGCATTGTTCTTCCATATTTATTTCAACTGCATCTTCCACTTCATCAACAACATCAATCACCAAGATGCTTTCATATTCATGTGGTAGTTTCATACCCTTGCTTGCTTGGAATGTAACCTCTTCATCATTCACAAGGAATTTGATCTCATTCCGTTCCGAATCCATTAGTGCTCTTCCGTGGCAAAGAATGGCCTCCCCAAGGTTATAGGGATCTCTTTGTCAACTGCATAATCAAGGATTACGAAATCGACTGGTAAATAAAACTTGCCCACTTTTACAAGCACATCATCGACAATTCCCACCAGTCTCTTTATGGAACGATCGACCAGTTGCAATCTCATACTTGTGGACCTTGGTATACCTAACCCTGCTTGCTTGTAAATGGCAAGAGGCATTAAGTTGATGCTAGCCCCGTTATCACAAAGGGCTCGTGCAAAATTATGTGCCCCAATAGTACATGGAATAGTGAAAGCTCCCGGGTCTTCTTTCTTTTGAATGGTGGATGTTGCAATGATGGAACTAACCCAGTGAGTCACATTCACCACTTCATTCTTGGTGGTTCTCTTCTTGGTAATCAAGTCTTTCAAATATTTAGCAAAACCCGACACCTCTTGAAATGCTTCCACAAAAGGAATATTCACCGATAACTGCTTGAGAATGTCATAAAACTTTTCAAGTTTGCTATCATCAACCTTCCTAGCAAGTCTTTAAGGGAATGGAGGAGGAGGTCTAAGAATAGGGGGTAGAGTTTTTGGTGTCTCTTTTACCTTTTCCTATACCTCTTCCCGATTTACTTCTTGAACTTTCAACTCTTCCGGAACCTTTTTAACTTCAACAACACTTGGCTCTTCAACCTCAACCTCTTGTTCGGACTCTTCTACTTCAACCACTTGTTCACTCTCTCCTTGTAGTACCTTCCCACTCCGAGTAGTAATTGCCATGATATGAGAAGTTGGGCCACTCCCACTACCCTTTGGCTTCACAATTGTGTCACTACGAAGTGTTCTGATCACGCCCAGCTATGCCTTATAAAAAGGACAATGCGGACGTTGCAAATATAACCCGAGTATTACGCCCAGGGTCGAATCCACAGAGAGTTAACCTATCAATCACTATTTTTGGACCCACTAAACTCTTCAGAACCAGCTTCCCAAATGTTTGAATCACAAGTTGATGGTTTCAATAGTAACTAAACTTGCAAGTAAATTAAACAGCTGTAAACTAAAATGCTAAGGTTGTAAACAATGATGAGAAAAAGCTAAGGTAAAGATTTCCCCTATTGATGGAATCCCTTCTGTTTATGCTTCATACAAATTTACCAACACACCTCTATCAATCATGAACACTTTTCTTACCGTAAATCTCTCCCGAGTAATCACAGTAATATACTATTGCACTCTCCCGAGATACACTAGCTAGCTTTAATTAACACAGTTCACTTAAGATTGCACCCAAGGCTTCGTTATCCCTAATCCCGCCTTTAAACCCGCAGTTATAGATTCCTCTTATACTTTAGGAGTGGTGTTATTCAACAATAACCTAAATATGCACTCTCTCCCGAGTTATGCACACTAAATAGGCACAACTAATTGAGGATCCTGTCAATTAACTACAACAAGAACATAGTTGAATAAATAAAGATTGAAACTAGCAATTTGTATTCACATAAATAAGAAGTTCATCCCCCAATAGGTTCCATCAAAACCTTAGACAAAGGATTTAGCTACTCCTAACTATGGGTAAATAAACTAAAACAATATTCATCATAAAACTTGCAAGAAAAATAAAGAGAAGAAGAAACCAAGATGTTTTGGGTGATCTCTCACACTTGTTCTTCTTCCAAAACTCCTCTCCAAAACAATCCATCCTCTCTTGGGCGGAGTCTAGTGTTTAAAATAGGGTTTTGGGCTTAAAATCCCGTGTTTTGCACTTTAGTCCCTGAAATTTCCGCCTCCTTCCGCGGTTCTACCGCATTTGCGGTCAAACCGCGGTCAAACATGGCCTCTGCTGCTTTAATTGTCTGCGAGCAGCCCTCACCGCGGTTCTGCCGCAGTCGCGGTAAAACCTCGGTATTTCATCCTGTTACGTTTGGAATATGAAAAAACGTAAAACATGAAAGTTGTGTCCCTTTGAGTTAGATTTCCAACCATATATTATGGAGCCCAAATGGGATTCTGAGTAAAAAGTTATGTCTATTTTACTAGATAGTGCGCAATATGCCTCTTCGAGTTTTCGTTTTGTTGTTTTATCATTCGTTGATCCCCGAACGCGATCCCGTCTTAATTCCTTGAGCTCTTACTCAGAATTCAAAGCTCAAAACCACTCAAGATAGAAAGAATTCACTCACTCTCAGAAATAACATTCATATGCCACAAAAGATGCACCATAAGCTTGCCCGTAATGTACTACTCCACTAATCGAGCTCATTCAATCTTGGATCAATTAGGACTTTATTTGGTTGTAATGTAGGTTGAGGGACGAGTAAGATACATTTAGATATAAGAGTGACTACACCCCCCAAGCACTTTAATACATACACTTTAATATTTAAAACCCCACTTATGTCAAACCAAAACTCCACCTTCATATCAATGTATATTAACTCC